TCCCTACAGCTGTGGCATGCACTGGCTATCTCGGTATCTGAGAAGGGATTGTTTCGGGATTTATTCTATTTGAAACGGTGTTAAGTCGCCCTCATAATGAAGTAGGGAGCTCTTGGCGTTGAGATTTGCAAACTGTCGGCCTAAATTGCTGATATTGAATCTATTGAAACATATTTCTGGTGAGCCCAGCTGAACCATGTGTCATCATGAAAACCTGTAATATTAATATCTAGGAACCATCATGATTTTTAACTATATATCTGAAGTGTTGTGTTACGGAAAGACTGAAGTGCCATTTTTGTTGAGTGCGATGCACCATTTCGCCATTAAAGCTGAAATTAGCTGTCATTCATTTAGACTTAGAACCCGCCTCCCAGTGTTGCCGGATATAATGGAGTTGTGCCAGACTCATGACTTATTTGGCCTTGGTAACGTTGTCTGGATCTTCCCTTTATTTTTCACGTAGGAGAAAATATTGTTCTGAATTCATGGGATGAACAGAGATTGAAATGGCGGTTTGCAGTGGTCAATGGATTTGGTGGAAAGTGGGGATTTTCTTCCCGGAAGGAGTCGAGACGGTTTGAGGAACTCCAGATACATGCAAAATGTTCCACGACCGCACTGAAGTGGTTCATTACACTTGAAGAAAGCCTATGATAGATCTAACGTTTCATATTTTCTGTTAAATGGGCCATGAGAGGCTGAACAGGCATGCGATTGGCCTACCGTGACACGTCCACCACGAGGTGTTTGGCAGACTCGGGATTAATCCTTATAGGCATAATTGGTCCGTCGGTGTAGGATTGAGTTTCTTTTGAACGAAAAAAGGTAGGCATGGGGCTGACCTGAAGAAAGTCTGCCTGTTAGGCAAAGGCCAGTAGCTAGTGAATTCCGTAAGGAAAGGAGGAAGGTGGGGGGGGGTGAGATTGAGATTAGGATTAGGGTTGAAGGAAGGGAAAACCTTTGAATATTGGTTTTCACATTACTACATTTCACTATTCCTCATATCCCCATGTGGATAGACGCACGTGTATTTCTCAAACTCTAAGGGATTAATGTTAATTTTCTAGCTCCATCAGTTGTGCTGATCCAATTCCAAGCTACTTCGCTTTCATCACCGCTCTCACTTTCATCAAGAACATTGCGACTTGTCTCTGGATAAATGAGGGCCAATCGACTTCTAGGCCGTGGAACCTCTTCGGGAGCACTGGGAACGAGAGGAGCCTGCGATGCAGCACCAGGAGGGACTTGCTGCTGTGTTGCATTCATGGCCAGCCCTCTCTGTATTTGCATTTGGTTTAGATAGGTCATATTATATGGGGGGTCGAGTGTATCTGTAACAAAGGAGAGGCACATATTATTCTCTTACAGAAGCAGGAAACACCCATTGAGCTATTAAAAAGAGACGAGAGGAAACGTTTGAGATCAGTTCACTCACATTCTTGTGGAAACCTAGGAGTGGGATTGAATATGAATGTTGACGCAGAAGCAGAGCCTTTTGTCTTGGTTAGATGCGTTGGAGCTCCTGCACCACCAAACTGGAAAGGAGAAGATGCCAATATATTTTCATGTTTGGCAGCATCCATCATTGTCGTCTACATGGAATCAGGAGAGAACTGAGTATCTGAGACAACAGACATCACACAAAAAAAATAGGGAAATCTGGAGGATTCCCCATATTTATTGAGGACTACTTGTATCGTGTAAGGGTATACACGAATGCAGTTGATTTGGGTACTTTATCGCAAGGCACTTGCCAGGTAACAAGGGGTTTCACAGCACAACCAAGATACCAGCAAAGGACGTTTCAATTATTGCACCAATATATTTCAAGTTTCAAAACAAATTGTGATACGTGGTGTTTTACAATCATTCAAAGTTGGAACACCGATGTGACTGTCTACAACATGCTAACCAATTGAGCCCACTCGGAGCAACATGATCACACGCAGACACGTCGAAAAATATTTGTGCAGATGGGCTATCTCCCCTCTCTCCTTCATATTTTAACTCCTGACATAAAAAAAAATTAATTCGTGAGGAATGTTCAACTTCGATGAAAAATCATTCTAGAAGCCTGAATTTGAAAGATTGTGTCTGTGTTTAGTGACACCATTAGATAAGTCTCCGCTAGTATTAATGGAATAAGTGTCTATGAAACAAGGTTCTCACAACTGAAGCAAAATGGCACAAACACCAGCACATGTTAAGATTTACCCTGGTAGGTGCAAAGACTACTCACTGAAGCATTGACTAATTGAAAATGAAAAGGGTCGTCCTCTGTGTGATGCAATTTCCTGGATAGTGCCGAGAGATTTTTCAATGGATTTTCATGGAAGTAAATACTAAAAACAGAACCCCTAGGATAGATGAATACCCAGGAGTAATCCTCTTATCTCGAGGATGTTCTGCAGACCTATCTCGGATGTACCATGTTTCCTGTTTAGTAGTTTTTATCTCAGAGACGAGACAAACGCAGCATTCAGAAACTGCAGTTCCATTCCTAGCCAGCAAGATAGCTGGAATTTCCCATTTCATGCAACGTGTACAATAAGGGATGTACCTTGCACTGCAATTTCACTGTGTTTCCTTAGGCATGCTTACCACTTTCCCACGGAAATTATCCCTGAACATCTTTTTCAATTCAGACAGTAATATTGTTAAGCAACAATTCAAACATGCAATTTCAATTTTTTTTTTAGTGCAAGAATGCTCAAGGAGCCAAGAAGGAAGCTGTCTTTAGGCAAGGTGTGCACAAGGAAATAAACAGACCTGGTGAAGAATTATATTTCCCTTGCCAACTTTATAGCACATTTGTTACATTTAAGAGCTTACCAGCAGTACCGAATCCCATTTACATTAAATATTACAAAGCTTGAGAAACAGATTCCCAATAGCCTCAATGTTTTCGGATTGACTTCATGCCTCCTCAAGGAAGTGCTTCCATCAATGATATCCATCACATGGATGGTTTCATGCATAATATTATAAAACTAGCGAGTTAAGGTTATATAATCCATGGCCAAGGATAGTGATTAATTCATTCATTTTTTGCGAAATGAGAAACACATATTTAAAGTACGTCCCCATTGAAATACGTGACAAATGGGGTCGAAAGTCTTACTTTTTTTTATCAAACTCTTTACTTCTATGATTTTGTGTGCTTAACTTTAAATCCTTTCTTGTGTCCCTTTAAGCAAAGGTGGAGAATACATTTTGAAATACTTCTCTCCAATAATCAACGCTGAGGAGACATTTCAAAAGTAGAATTTTTTTCTGTACTCAGCCATTAAACAGGAACTTCTGAGGGCAGTTTACATTTTCTGTATCTGCTTTGTTGGATAAAAAAAAGAAGTATGAAGACTTAACATTTTTATTCAACTCCTTGTCTCAGTTGTCAAATGCATGCAAAGTTTCAGCTTTCCATGTTCAATAGTTTAACTGATGCAAAAAATTTAGTTGAAAACATCTCCTTTTGAAATTTGTGCCCCTAGGGCTTGGATAAAAAATGTTACATGTTTCCTGAACTCATCCTCACGGTAGGCACATCCACGCCAAGTTTCAGCTTTCCATGTCTCTCCGTTTTACTCAAAAAAGAATAATGTTATGGAGGAGGATTGAGTAACGGGACATGGAAGGCAAAAGAAGCCAAAAGAAAGCCAAGGAATGGGCGGGAATTGAATCTGGACTTTCTGATTGCCAGTCAGATATGCCACTACTGCACCACCAAACCCAACACTACCAGTCGACTCTATGAATGCCATCCTCATCTGTCACAAAATATATTTAAGAAAAACGTTTCCCACCAAAATTTGTACCCCCAGGGATGTACCTCCAAAGTCGGATTTTTTCTGAACTCTGCATCCCAAAAGGTACATATGTAACAAGTTTCAAATTTCTAACCGTCTATATATATTAGACGGATAATCTGGAAGTTTTGCCTTTTTATTGATACTTTCTCCACTATAGGAGAGAGAGGGTATGAAATTCAATCCGAAACCAGTGGAGGTTAACACGATTAATAACATAACAAGGCAAAAAGGTGGGGGGCAGTGTTGACGTTAGGAACCAGACAGTAAGCAACTAGGATAGTCAAATAACAAAAACGCAAAAAAAAACAATAATACAGAAATATATAGCTTTAAGAGGGTTAGGCCTACCATAAAGTTAAGGAACACTCGACCTCGGCACGTGATATCGAAATGGGCGAAATCGCCTCTTGATATCATTAACTCTCTTGACACTTGACTCTTGATTGACAGAGATACTGTATATACCAGGCTCACAGAGCATTCTCATCATGAATACATTTTGATGCCTATCAGTGGAAGAAAGCGAATGGACAGATAATTGCTTGTATAGCTGGTACTTTAGCCATGTAGATTGCAGAGCAATTGTACAAAGTGGAGAATAAAAAAATTCAGACCAAATGCAGCATAATGCTAAACTGAATGGTATCGCAGAATTTCTCCTAGGGCTTGATACCTCCTGTTGATAGCTTAGTTCGGGATGTAAAAGATAAAACTGTAAGCTAACAATGATTCAAAATACACGAGGTCTCAAGAAAAGGTATACATTGGTTTCACTTCCAAGGATGACAATGGGTTGAGAAAAACGTTCCCTGGCCTTCAATGCTCTTGCTTTCTCACTATAGAGCTTCCCTTCATCAGTGAGCAGAGCTACCACCTGCTTTGATTTCTCCCGTACTTTCAGTCCGAAATCCTTTTTTTCTTCCAAATGCTGAAAGTCCCTAAGAGTTTGAATCGCAAAAATGTTCTCCTTGCACTGCTGGGCCACCTTCAAAACACAACCCGAAAATATAATTCAAAAAAACACTAAGAATGAAAAATACCTCGGATGAGGAACCATGGGCACACTTACTTTAACATTGCCTCTTTTGATTAGATATTCCAGCAAAACTAAGGCCTTATAGACATGTCTCCAATTCTTCCCGTGGTCATTCAATCGCTTCCAGATCATTTGCATGATTTCACCGAAAGCATCAATATTGTGAGTCATGTCTGCAATCTGAGACATCAATGTGCAGGAAGGACCCCAAGGATCATTGCTTGTTGCTTCACCCACTTTCGCCTATATTTAAAAGGTGAGAGGATTGTGAGTCTTTATGTCCCCGTTATCGATACAAATCTCAAATCAAGTATAACAGAGCCAACGTCTCATTGAAACCTTCTCACCTGGGCCTTAGTATAATTGTGAGAGAGGTTCTTCATATTTTTTTTCAATTTAACTGCCATTTTCAGGATTCCCACCTGGGTAGCGTCAGTATTAGCCTTCAACCTTCAGGCCAAGGAGGCTATTGTCAGTTGTAATTCTTTGTACCTGAAAACGAAATTGCAAGTAAAATTTAAAATATGATATGATAATCAAGAACTGCAACAGCATCAATTCATTCCCCAATCCCCACACTTGCTGCCAAGACAACAATGGAGAAAGTCATAGGACAAAAAATAACATGATGATTGCATGTGGATTGCACAGCGATTTTCATGGTGGTGCAATAAATAGCGATTTGAATGTATGAATTTGTGCATTTAATGTAACAAAAATTTTTTCGAATTGAATGCCAAAAATCATGACAATAACACTTCTTAAAATGCTTGAGCATTCAATGTGTCCACATCCTGAACCACCACCACGGCAACCGTGTCAGTTCAGAAAACCTGCAGCCGCTGGTTGTCACATACACAGTTTAACCATGGTCCCATAACGAAAGAATACGGATGTCCCTAGACAGATTCTCGCTCGTTTGAAATCTGCTGGATTCCCATGAAAGGTCCAAGACAATTAGGAATTTCCCGTAATTGCAGTGTGCATAGAAACCATGGCAATTTTATTGATGTCATAATGAACCGCCTTTTTTCACTTTTGTTACAGTTTATAAGTTCTTGCCATAATTTTCTATATTTTTCATTGTGTCTGATGTCTTTGTACCTACCTCTGAACATGGTTTACGAATTACGTCCATTGCCCATAGAGGGCAATGGATGTGGTTTATAATCCACGAAGTCCTAAGATAAACTAGAACAGATATTTTACTTCAACCAATACAGCCACTTCGTCATATGCAATTTTGATTTCGCAATTTTATGATTGATTAATGAAATTTCTATATACTGTATGAAAATTATTTGTGGCATCCCAGGTTATGTTCAAGTTCGGAGATGAATCCCAGGCTAGAATGTCAAAATTCAAACAAATGATAGGCTACGTCTGCGTGAGAAAGCTAAAACTATGAACTAGGTCTAACGTTAGGGTCAAAATAAACTAATTAGAAATATTCAATGAAAACGGATACTTGAGCAATTTATCTCAGTCCGAACCCTTCCTGCTCATGGTGTGATATCTAATATTTCTGTTTGCTAGATATAGGATTAGAATTAATTTCATGGGGGGTAAGAAAAATGGATTCGCATTAGACCAGTCTCCGATTCTCGTATGAATAAATTTTGAAACACGAGAACACTTTTCATTCCACCACCCACAGTGCTGTGAAAACCACTTTGAGTTATTAAGACATTTTATGCGTTCATTCCTGAAGAAACACGACAAATTCAAACTCAACTAAAGCAATTGCACCGACTGCACCGACCTTCTATTTCCGCTTGGAGACAACCCCATTAGATCACAGGATAGTGTCAGCTTCATATGTCATATTTCTCTGCTCGATGTATGCGCATAGTATTAAGCCTCTTATCAGTGGGTCTGAGTCTGAGTGGGTCTGAGTGGGTCCCCGCTCTGAGGCAGGAAGATCTGCCTTATCTGTTCCTTTCAAAAGAATTCCTTGGCAAGCCTGTTATCTACCATTCCCATAGGTACTATAGGAAAATGGTTGATATTGCGTTTGGTCTGCCACTTTTTTCCCATTTGTATCTCTGCAGTATCCATAGCAACCTAACTACTCGACTAACTAACTACTCAATGCGCATGTGCAGCTTTCCGCCTGGGTCGAGGTGCAAGTATAAGACTAAAATTTCCACTTCCCCATCATCATCGTCAGTAAATGTAAGAGTTCGTTGGCACTTATTGCGAACGAGTTCATGAGAGGCATGTGTCATTTACATTTTGAGCATTCGTTAGACAAGGACTCGCGGAAGGACTTTGCATGGCTTTGGCTCGGACGCTGATCCTCCATGATAGTGAAAGTGAGAAACGAGATTTTAAGATCCAAGAGTCTAGAAAAAGCAATACTAGAATACAAGGATTTTCTTGGTTAGTATGACATGGTTAGATACTTCAAGAGAAAAGTTCATACCAGCTTGAAGAGAAGGCGTGCGCTGGTCGGAAGGAACAGGGGCTTGGCTCTCACCTAAATAAAGAACACCTGATCATTAGCATCATTATGGTTAAAGGAAAGTCGTGTCAAAGGTCAACCCTGCTAAATTGTGTCTCCTGCAATAGCAGTGTTTTTGGCGCAAGGTTTCAGTGGATCAATTGTAGGTTAAAATGTTCACATTTTTTAAAGGATATTTCAAGCAACAACTTCTCTCTTGGTCTTTGCGCTAAGCGAGGATAATCAGCTCAGCCAAAACTAATATTAAATCAGGATGAATGAGTATTGGAATTTTCTGCGAAATATATTGTATTAATAGAACGAATGAGGATACAGCATTAAAAATTCTTCCGCCTCGCACGTGGAGCAGATCATATAATCGACGCACTCCACGCACTTGTAGCAGACGCCAGCGATTCTCTCCCTACAGCTGTGGCATGCACTGGCTATCTCGGTATCTGAGAAGGGATTGTTTCGGGATTTATTCTATTTGAAACGGTGTTAAGTCGCCCTCATAATGAAGTAGGGAGCTCTTGGCGTTGAGATTT